ATAATTACATAAATAAATAAATATATATATATATAAACCATTTTCAAGCCTTCTGGACGTAGAGAAATAATCTCAGTAATTATCAGCAATTCTCAGTACCGACAGTAAATCTCAGCAAATATCAGTAATTATCAGAACCCACAGTAAAAACGACAGTAAATATCTGTAATTATCAGAACCAACAGCAATTATCAGTAACAACAGTAAAAAAAAATATCAGCAAATATCAGCAATTCTCAGTACCAACAGTATAATATCAGTAAATATCAGAAATTATCAGTAAAAAGTGGCACTATCAGTAAATTTTTAGGCCAGTAGTGTAAGTGACTTGCCTTGGATGATAATTGGGGCGAGAAATCCAAGGGGGTCAAATATACTATTTATTGTTGATAACACACCTCTTCTTATGAATGGTTTGACATCATTTGAAATTTTAAAGAAAAACGAATCTGACTGTAAGTCCCAAATAAGTCCTAGACTGCGCTGTGTTGGTAGATTGTCTTTTGATAAATCCAAGTCTTTCATTTCACTTGACAGATCACTAGGTGGAAAAGCGTTCATAACTTCCTGGTTGTTTGAAGCTATTTTGTGTAGACGTAATTTCCCATAACTCAATGCTTTCTGTGTTCTTTTCATTAGGTCCACAGCTTTTTCTACGGTAGGTTGTGATGTTAATCCATCATCCACATAAAAATCACGTTCTACATACTGAGTTACATCTGTCCCAAACATATCTTCTACTTCCTTAACAGTCTTGCGTAATCCGTAGGTTGCGATGGCTGGCGAGGGACTGTTTCCGAAGACGTGAACAGTCATACGGTATTCGATCAGTCTCTTTTCAGGATTGTTGTCTTCATGCCATAGAAAACGCAAGAAATTTCGATGAGGTTCACAGACTTTAAAACAATAAAACATCTGTTCAATATCTCCAATTAATGCGACTTTCTCTCTGCGGAACCGTAGTAAAACACCCAGAAGACTGTTTGTCAAGTCTGGTCCGGTAAGTAGTACGTCGTTAAGCGACTTTCCTTCGAATTTTGCTGAAGAATCAAACACAACTCGAATTTTGTTTGGTTTCTTTGGGTTGTAAACTCCAAACAATGGTAAGTACCAACACTCTTCTCCATTCTGTAGAGGCGGTGCTATTTCTGCATGATGATTCTTGAACAATGCATCCATAAATTCTACGAAATGTTCTTTCTTTGTAGGATCCTTCTGCAAAGTGTAATCTAACTGTTTTGCTCTCTTCCTAGCTTGATCATAGTTGTTTACTAGCCTTTGACGGTCCTTACGAAAAGGAAGTGGAGCTTGCCAATGTCCATCAAGATCTTTTGTAAATTCTGAATTCATGATGTCTAAGAACTCATGATCATCCATAGAAAGTCCTAACTTTTCATCATTCTCTGTCCTCTGAAAAACACTTTCACCAATTTCAGTTTTTGTACACATGATGTTTGTTGAGGTTTCATTGAGGATTTTTTCTTTGACCTGTAAGTTACTGTTGCAAGGTAGCATCAAAGTTGGACGGCCATCAGGTAGAACACAAGTTTTCATGACATTAATGACATCTGGTTTATGGGTTTTTCCCAAACAAGTTTCACCAATGATAGTCCAACCAAGGGACAGTTTTTGGGCATAGGGTTGATTTCCCAATCCAATGCGTTGGTCTAAAACGTGATGTGCTTTGGTTATGTCCCTTCCTATCAGTAACAGGATTTCTGCATCAGGATCAACTGGTGGTATGTGATCAGCAATGTCATGCAAATGTTCATAATGTAGGGCTACATCTGGTGTAGGAATTTCCTCTCTGACTTCAGGAATTTCATCACACTCAATGATGGTAGGTATATCTATACAGTTTTGTCCATCTAATGACTCAACAACTAATCCATGAACTTTACGTCCTGACCTTTGAACTTTTCCTGAACAAGATGTTAACAGGTAATTTGTCATAGTTCCATGAGTGTCCATAAGATCAAAGAGTTCTGGTTTAGCAAGTGTTCTGTTTGACTGGTCATCAATCACTGCATAAATTTTCACAGATTTTTGCGGACAGTGTTTTGGGTACACATGCACCAGAATGGTTTTAGCACAAGATTTTCCACCAAATGTTTGTCCACAGATTTGTGTACACTTAGAATTCACAGCTGGGTTGTTCACATTTTCAGAATCTAAAACTTGTCTCTCAGTGAAATTCTCCCCGCCATAGTTTCTCCAAGGGTATGAAGTCTGAACTTTTGTCCTGTTCACATGTAATGGTGATGTGTGAAATTTGCTTCCACATTCTCCACACTGCACATCAGAATGACACTCTGCTTGTTTATGATCTCTTGAACAACATCTATAACACAAATTGTTATCTTTCAAGATCTTCCTCCGTTCGTCAAATGGCTTTGTTCTGAAAGCTCTGCACTGTTCCAAGGAATGGTTTGTCTTATGAAGGGGACACTGGTTTTCTTTTCCTGAGTTACGAAGAATCTGTGGTTGCCGAGACACAGCTGTTTTCCTGCTTGAAATCTTCAGAGTTTTGTCACTGTGTTTCTGCATATGCAAGTTTCTATCTGTATAAGCAAAACTGGGATTGTTCTTGATACGGCTTTGCTCACGAATAAAGTTTGCAAATACATGAAATGGGGGAAACACAACATGATGTTCACTTATGTATTTCACTGCTGTATTCGTCCATTTTTCTTGAAGTTGGTACGGAAGCTTCATGACGATAGGTGTCACTCCTGTCGACGCATCAAAATATGCAAGTAATGACTGGTAACGGATATCTTCTTTTGCTGCTAGGATTTCATCCAAAATATCAGACAAGTCATATAGACGACAATAATCTTTCGATGTAATAGGAGCAAATGAGTTCAGTTTTGTTTTTAAAGCAGATTCTATCATTTCAGGACAACCAAATCTCTCCTCTAATCTTTGCCAAATTCTCTGAAGTCCATGCACTGGATTGCTCGCACTTGCTGCTTTAATGCTGATAATCTGTTGTTGTGCTGATAGACTAGTGAATTTGATAAGAAAGTCAATTTCCTCTTCTGGTGTCACTTGTAAGTCTCTCATAACAGATTTAAAGGTTGCTTTCCATGACGGGTAGAATACAGGTTTGTCATTAAATTTGATGAGACGTGAAAGCATCAAGTCTTTTTTCAAGAGATAACGAGTGAAATCTGAAGTCACTGCTTGTCCTCCTACACTCCAGGACGGCTGTGGTGGAAAGTATGGAAGAGCCTGAGGATTCAGTATAGATGTACAAGGTTCTGGAATGCAACTCTGACTATGTTGATTAACATTTTCTTTCACAATAGTTTCAGGTTCTACACAAATGTTTTTATTTTGAGTTCTGATTTGAGCATGTTGCTCTACATATGATTTTGTACGTTCTTTACTGTCAACACTCTCTAAATGTTTAATACATGTATCACTATGACCACACTGACTTCCTTCCTCTTCACTGAAAATTTCCGCTTCAGCAACCGCGACTTCCTTTTTAACAGATAGTAATTGTAGATCTGCTTCTAAATCGTCTGTCATTTTCTGAGACTTAGCTCTTTCTAATGCTAGAAGAGATTGTTCCTTCTTAATTTTCATTTCAAGTTCGGTGTATTTTAATTTGGCACGGGCAATTTCTGCTTTCTTTCTCTTTTCAGACAATGAGCTTTGTTTACTGCTGATTGAAGAAGTTTGTGAGGCATTTTCTTGTGATCTCTTAGTTGACCTATTTGAATGAACATCTTCTTCCTGAGGTGGTTTCTGTTCATGAAGCTGTGGTGACTGTTGGTACAATGCATTCAGTTTTCTGAAAGCAGTATCAAATAAGATAGAATATCCTTTCTTTGAAAACTTGAGTTTTTGAAGTTCATGTACACATTTTTCAGTTCGATGTCTTTCCAGAAAACCACAGAATTCACTGAAGAGTACGTCGAATGCATCTATTCTTGTTTCTAATTGTGATTTCAAATGTATGATGAGTTCTGGATTTTTAGAAGATGTGTGGTCTACTTCCTCGATGATAGTGTCTACATTTTTCCATAACTTTTGTAAACGAGCTGAGTAAGTGTTAATCTGTTTGTCTAGGAGTTCTTGACCTTTCTCAGTTAGATCCCTGTGACGTTTCGGCCTGGCAGAGGCCTGGTTTTTGTCGTCTTCTCCTTGATCAACCATCTGGTGTTCGTCATCTTCTTCTTCTTGATGATGATCACTCATCCTCAAATTCTGGGTTTGGTTCTGGCCAATTGAAGTTTATTTACTATGCTGTCTGGAACAGCTAGCTAAACCTCACACCTCACACCCCATACTTGATCATTGAAGAACACATGGTAACTGGTTCCATATTTATTAACAAGCGAATTCATATTCCAATCAGTGAATGAGCGAATGAGCCTAGGTGAGCGAGACAAAGTGAGCCTATGTGAGTGAGCCTAAGTGAGCGAGTGAGTCTACACGAGCGAGCAAGCGAATGAGCGAGTGAGCGAATGAGGTAAATAACTGAAATAAACAAAATCAAATACTATAATACTGATATACCAAAAAGACAATAACGGTGTTCCATAGAAATAGCTCACTTATAAACCTTATCATAATAACAAATTACTATAAAGCATATTAGATAAATTGAATAACAATAACTAATTCTCGTGACTTCAGTGACTTTAAACTTTACAAAAAATACCGGTCTGAATAAGTTTTCAATACACAAAAACTCTATAAATAATCACCAAAAAAACTTTACAAATAATAGGTATGACGTTACAAAAGTTTCCTATAAAAACTTACATGGTAATAGGCCACAAATCGTAAGAAGGTAGAATGTTACATGTACATCCTCATGGATGGAACTCTAATGGCAGACTGAATGAAAACTTGCACGAGAAAATGAGGGAGATAACTCCTGACACAAAAGATTTCCACTCAAGGAAGATAATTCAAAAATTTACAAAGAAGGATAACTCTTTCTGATATCTGAATAATACACATATTTCACTCCGTATAATTACACAACAAGAGGCCCATGGGCCACATCGCTCACCTGAGTAACTTTGGTCATGCTGTTCTTTACCAGATTTCCCCCTTGTAATACATGTATACCTATTGTGGCCCCGCCCTACCCCCGGGGGTCAAAATTTGAACAATTAAAAATTTACACTACCTCAGGATGCTTCCAAATATGTCTCAGCTTTATTGGTCCAGATGTTCTTGAAAAGAAGATTTTTAAAGATTTTTCTTATATATTTCAATGTAAAACTTGGATTCCCTATTGTGTCCTGCCCTACCCCCGGGGGTCAAGATTTGAACAATTTATAATCTACACTACCTCAGGATGCTTCCACTTAAGTTTCAGCTTTTCTGGCCCAGTGGTTCTTGAGAAGAAGATTTGTAAAGATTTTTCTTATGTATTTCAATGTAAAACTTGGATTCCCTATTGTGTCCCGCCCTACCCCCGGGGGTCAAGATTTGAACAATTTATAATCTACACTATCCCAGGATGCTTCCACATAAGTTTCAGCTTTTCTGGCCCAGTGGTTCTTGAGAAGAAGATTTGTAAAGATTTTTCTTATGTATTTCAATGTAAAACTTGGATTCCCTATTGTGGCCCCGCCCTACCCCGGGGGGTCATGATTTGAACAATTTAGATTCTACACTACCCCAGGATGCTTCCATATAAGTTTCAGCTTTTGCTGGCCCAGTGGTTCTTGAGAAGAAGATTTTTAAAGATTTTTCTTATATATTTCAATGTAAAACTTGGATTCCCTTTTATGACCCCGCCCTACCCCCGGGGGTCATGATTTGAACAATTTATAATCTACACTACCCCAGGATGCTTCCATATAAGTTTCAGCTTTTCTGGCCTAATGGTTCTTGAGAAGAAGATTTTTAAAGATTTTTCTTATGTATTTCAATGTAAAACTTGGATTCCCTATTGTGGCCCCGCCCTACCCCGGGGGGTCATGATTTGAACAATTTAGATTCTACACTACCCCAGGATGCTTCCACATAAGTTTCAGCTTTTGCTGGCCCAGTGGTTCTTGAGAAGAAGATTTTTAAAGATTTTTCTTATATATTTCAATGTAAAACTTGGATTCCCTTTTATGGCCCCGCCCTACCCCCGGGGGTCATGATTTGAACAATTTATAATCTACACTACCCCAGGATGCTTCCATATAAGTTTCAGCTTTTCTGGCCTAATGGTTCTTGAGAAGAAGATTTTTAAAGATTTTTCTTATGTATTTCAATGTAAAACTTGGATTCCCTATTGTGGCCCCGCCCTACCCCCGGGGGTCATGATTTGAACAATTTAGAATCTACACTACCCCAGGATGCTTCCATATAAGTTTCAGCTTTTCTGGCCCAGTGGTTCTTGAGAAGAAGATTTTTAAAGATTTTTCTTATATATTTCAATGTAAAACTTGGATTCCCTATTGTGGCCCCGCCCTACCCCCGGGGGCCATGATTTTAACAATTTAGAATCTACACTATCCCAGGATGCTTCCACTTAAGTATTAGCTTTTCTGGCCCAGTGGTTCTTGAGAAGAAGATTTTTTAATTACCCCACCCTATTTTTGTTTTTTCTTGATTATCTCCCCTTGTAAGGGGACTTGGCCCTTTATTTTAACAATTTACACTCCCCTTTACCCAAGGATACTTTGTACCAAGTTTGGTTAAAATTGGCCCAGTGGTTCTTGAGAAGAAGTTGAAAATGTGAAAAGTTTACAGACGGACGGACGGACGGACAGACGGACGGACGACGGACAACGGGTGATCAGAATAGCTCACTTGAGCTTTCAGCTCAGGTGAGCTAAAAAAGCAAACAAAAATAAATAAAAAATAAGAACTGTGACAGCACAAGTTTACTAAGTGAAAGTGTAAGGATTTGTGTCAATGAAACGCGTCCCAAAATTCGTAGGTTCAATAATTTCCATATAAAATTAGTTTTATATCATATTTCCATGTGAAATGCTATAGCAACATAGAAGTCGTGATATTATACAAAAAAAAAAGAGAAAATATTTACTTCAAATCTGTGTCTATGTCCCTTTAAATTTGCCTTAAAAAACAACATACATAACGAATATTAATAATATCATAACTAAATACTTACCGCAGACCTGTTTCCGTGTCAAAGTCAAGGTATTGCTTGTATGGCTGCTATTTACATATACTCTAGCTGCTTCAAATTCAGAAATGTTTCTGCAGGCTACGCTTCTCTGCCGGGAGTAACCAGACCTCAATTGATCTGGTCGGCTCAGCTATGTTGCAAGGACTTATGGGTACATATATAGGGCATAGGGAAAAAACGCGGGAAATACAAGTTATAAGTATAAGTGTAATAGTGAGTGTTACATACATTTCCCAACTCATTCGATACTAATAAGCATGCTCCGAGTACCATCAATTTTTAAAACGAGGCAGGCTACTGACAGAAAAACTGATGGTACAGGGTGTGACCGGTCAACACGGAAGTTTACTTCTCATAGGCACCTGATCCCACCTCTGGAATAGCCAGGGGTACGTGTTTTATTCCCTGTTTACATATTTGTATTGTTTACAGATTTTTTTAGATCGACCACTGTATTTGTTGTCTTTACTTTCTTCATTCTGCAGTTTTAGCTTTTTAATACGTTAGAAATATATCATGTATATCATGGAATTTTTTAGTAAAAATCATTCGAACTGGTTGTTAAAACATGTCAATCATCTGGGTATACAATGACTAAATTTCGTTGCAGTAATAATAAGTTATCAGTCTGCTCAAAGACATTGCCATATCTGTTTCAAATTTGGATGCTCTCCTATTACGTTAATTGACTAAGGAAAACTACTAAGAGGGTTAATCCAAGAGTAAGGTCACAGCAGCAATAAAATCTTAATTATCAAATGTTATCAACAGAATTTAACATACTACTATCTATATCTTGTTTTACTTGTGCCTGAAATTTTTCATTTAGATATATGCAGTACTTTTTTAAAATATTAAAACAAATAAACACAACGTTGGGTTTTGTCTATCAAAAGCATACTGACGTCGATATGACGTTTCTCTTCAGCACTCATTTGCAATTCATCCGCAACTAACATCTACGAAAAAAGGAATGAATATAGAAATAACAACTGGACAAAGTCTCAATCTAATTAAAATTAGATGTTCCGAATCCGCTGTACCGCTTCTCAAACATCTAACAACATCCCATTAGGGGTCACGTCAGAGCGACCTTTTGATTACCCAATGGAATTGCCGTCTCTGAAATCTTGGCTTATAGTTCGGATGTTTTTTTTTTTACTGCCGAACCTAAACGCCCGAGGGGTTTTGTAGTAAAAAAAATATGCATGGTAAAGACCATGCTATATATGAATGTGACGTGCAGGATACGTATAGATGTAGTTTGTGCATTTTCGTTTGCATTATTCAGGTAAGAATGCCAGATTGGCGGACAATACGTTCAATTTATACCAAAATTACTTTAATTCAATGTAAAATAGTGTACTGAGCATCAATAATGTAAAGATGTAGCCGTGGAACTAACTTTAGAATCTTATACAGAAGGTTGAATCTGATTGGCCAAAATTTTTATGTTTATTCTTAATTGAAAGGTCGCTCTGACGTGACCCCTAATGGGATGTTGTTAGATGTTTGAGAAGCGGTAGCAGATTCGGAACATCTAATTTTAATTAGATTGACAAAGTCTCAAAAATGTTAAAGCCACAACTCGAGACAAGCCGTTTTATAGCAAAACGACAATTAAGATTATTAAAAATAAGCACATTAGAGGTTTTATATGTGGATGAACTGAAAATTGGGGCCTAAGTGCCAAAACGGAACGTCATAATGACGTCATTAACATTCTTGCCGCACGGCGATAGACGAGACCCACCGTTGCATTTATTTTAATATTTTAAAAAGTACTGCATATATATGAATGAAATTTTGAAGCACATATCAAAAAAGATAGAGATATACCTATGTATTTTTTGTTGATAGCATACGGTTATTAAGAATTTATAGCAGCTGTGAGTTGTGATATTAATTTTTGGATTAACAATTACAATTTGGATGAAGTGGTTTCTTTTGTCAACTTTCCATATCTAATTTTGGATCTATCTGTCTCGAGGAATAACTAAGTATCCACGTCAAGAACATATTTGCTGCAGTTGTAATGCAACAAGATTTGACAGAATTCCCCCGTGGGTCCCCTTATCCTCCTTCTGGTCCCCTCCTTTTCTCAGCTGGTTGGATGTCAGTTGTAATGATAAGCTACAGGTTTTGCGGTTTTATGTGGCTCACTCTAGGTGTCCTTGTCATATTTAACCGGCTTTCAAATCATATTCAGAAATATCTTTAAATCCGAGGCTGTGTTGATATGTGAGTCATGTCCTGTTGCAAGTTCACCATAGAAAACATCTTTTAGAATGATCTAATCATCGATCCATGCGATAGGAATGGTTTCACTCTGTTTTAACGAATATGCTAGGCATGTCTGCTTTTGTGAGAACAATCTCATTGCTGATGTGATCCGCCCAAGTGATCCCAAGGAGTCTTTCTCGAAAGCGCATATGGAAAGTGTTTTAAGCCCCAGTCACACTGTCACGGTTTTACATCACGGTAAGCTACGATTTAGAGATCTGTGATCATTCTTAGACATCCGTTATTAGTACCGTGGTGAGCCCTGATAACTCGGATTAATCCTAAATGATCTGTAAATCGCTACGACTATTTTGAAATGTTCAAAACAGTCGTGGAAAACCGCCATGCTACTCTGTTTCTGGCATATCGAAGTTGCCCCGTACTGAAGGACTACCATCACCATGTGACCACCAAAAAGACTATCGTGATGTTTCGGGGTCATCCGTGACACGTAGGTCTACGCTTACTCGAGGATTACGACGGCTACAGTAGGGAAAACGTACGGATATAAAAGACAATCCATAACTAACCGTCGGCCCAATAAAGAAAAACATGACCTTACTTACAAATGTAACTTGTGTAACTATGTTGACTGAAATATCAATGATAGATTGTCCTACCAAATCGATCTTCAGTTGTACCCGATGTTCGAA